GTCAGCATAATCACATGCTGATCATATCACCTCAACTGACTCCACATAGACTACAGGCATTAACCAGCAATTGCAAATTGCTGCCAGGTATACTCCCACTATGTTTGCTGCACTCTGTAGTTAACATTTTGTATCATAAAATCATCCTTTCCTGCTAGACACTCTCAATTTCATGAAGCTATAGCTTTATAGGAATCTCCTATAAAAGTCCTTCACTCAGCTAACCTAGACTGACCAACTATTCTCAAATCCTGTTTTAGTGGACACTCTGAGTAAGATTTCTAAGATGCAAATACAACCTAATCATTTTCCTACTTTTTCGTTCGTTTGTTTGAGGGTGGCTGGCTGGTACAAGAATCGGAACCCTTGACCTTGATATTATCAACACAGGGCTCTAACCAGCTGAGCTAACAGGCTGGCCCTACTTTAAGTATTCAGTGGCATCCCACCATCCACAGAATCAATTCCAAACTCTGACTCTGAAAAATCACGCCTCTACCATTGTTCTAACCTTCTCTGCCATCATTGCCTCCTCTTTATCCTAGCCCTCTGTGCATTTGCACATGCTGTTCCTCTCACCAGAATGTCCCATCTGGCAAACTCCTATGTATCTTTCAAGAGTCACCTTTGACTTCATCTCCTCAGTTACGCCTTCACTGAGCTGTCTTCCTGAGTGGTTAACTTTGTTTATTGTTCATAACGACATTGTGTTAAGGTCCTGCCTCCCTCCACATTCCATCCAGACTGAGCTCCTTGAATGCAGGGTCCATGATGAACTCTTCATCTTTATGGGCATCCCACCTAGAGCAGTGCCTGGTACATGGTGGTCACTCCAGAGAGATTTGATGAATGAAAGAATGACCACAATGAGTGCCTCTCCAAGTGTCTAATAGTGGGGAGAACTTGACTCACTTAGTAAAGCCAGGCTGGGGGCCTGTTCTTTATTTCCAGCTCCAATAGATCTTAACTCAGTGCCTATAATTATGGCTTGCAACTCTCCACCTCTTCCCAACCCCCATTCAAACCCCATATCACTTATGTGTTGGTTTGTTCATGTGCTATTATGTGTTGATTTGGTTCTCAGAGTTCATTAATGTAATGGTAGCAGGGACATATGCATTCCAAAATTTTACTCACTGGAGAGACTCATGATTTTCAATATTTACATGGAAGCTAAATATAATATATAGGTCAGAGATAAGTTTTCCTAAGATTTTGAAGTCTATTTTGAAGTTTAGGATATTTTTTCTAACATCAAGTGCTACTCTGCAAGAAAGACTTATCGTTGAATTGAATGGCATTTTTTGCAAATATTAAGTTTAAAGAAAGGCCACAATATATGGAGCCAAGTATTATCTTAAAACAACTGTGTTATGCACGTTAAAACATGTAGCTTTCCTTTCCAGTGTGATTGCTTTGTTTGATCAAATTGAAAATAAGGTGTTCTATGTTGGCATTATGCCTTATTTCCTTAGACTAAATGAAATTGCTCCATTATAGCAAATAGAAGCTTGATAATGATTTGATTCAAGTTTGATTGGAATGCTGTTCTCAGAATATTTCACTATTCCAGTCTTATTCCTTGATATTCTGTTTTCAGATAAAGGCTATGAGCCAGGACTGGGTTACAACCCGTTAGGATTTGAGTGTTCCCTAGAGAATGTCAAACCAAGGCCCAGCTTGAGGCAGAAAGTGTGCTGCCTTCCTGCTGTCGGCTGGCGAGAAAGATTTAGCTCATCATGGGTCCCCACAGAAGCAAAACACTGAGAAGAATGTCCCCCCCAGGGTTTGGTCTCAACTCTTCTTGGGATGGGCACGCAGTTTGGAGATTGATAAGCAAGTATCCCCTAACATTGCTTCCTCCTTGTTTCTCCAGTGGACTGTACCAAGGCATCAAAATCTTTTCTTTCTTTTTTTCTTTTTAAGGCTTCCTTACAGCAATGAGGCAAGAAGTGACCCGTGCCCACAAAGGCTGGGCACTGGACACCGTGACCATCCACAATGAAGTTCTGCGGCAGACCAAGGAGGAGATCACATCACCGCCAGGGGTAGGTACCCCTGGGCGATAGCAGGGACAGTCCTGGAGCCAGTACTCAACGTTCACGTTGTGCTTCAGACTGACCTATGAGTGCCTTAGTTAAGTTCATCTGCTTGGCGGTGAGGGTTTTCTCTGTCATAACCAGGTGCCAAAGCCTCCTCCATCTGCTGGAGTGGGAGGCTGATGACAAGGTCTAGTGAGCACTAGAAACCCCCCAGACTGTATTTCTTTATAATTACAAGCTATGCTTGCATTTGCTAAAAAAAAAAAAAAAAAAGGTTTTCCACACATCTCCACCTACTGCTGTAGGCTACTCACAGAATTGACTATAGGCAGCAGAGTAGCGCTGAGGGCAGTAGTGACTCACTGCACTAGCATGCTGGAGTCCTAGGGCCAATTCTAGCAGTGTTCCCTGCTAGCTTTGGGACCCTTGGAGGAACGACGCCAGGTGGGGGAAAGAGCAGGGACACCAAATAAGCAGATGCCGTCTCAAAGCCACTAGTAGGACAGTGATCTACTCAATGAACTTGGGCAAGTTCTTTAACTTTTTTGAGGCTCAACTTCATCAGTAAATGAGCATGATAATTCAACTTCATGAAAGGTAGTTGTGAGTATTTAAATGGAATCATTTAGGCTTGGTGATGGATCCCACACACACATTCAATAAATCTTAGTCCCCTTTTCCCTTTCTCTGATTTTCATCCTCTTGTTTGTCAAATAAGGGGACCAAATCAGATGATTTCTGAATTCTGGCCAGGTTTTCTTCCACTTCATAACAAAGATTGTCTTTCTTCTAGTTTCCAATAACCTGTTCCTCATTTCTGCCCAAGACCTCACTAGAAGTGCCTTTAAACTTCATATTTCCAGCAACAATCCCTTCAAGGAAATTTAGGCTTTCTCTATCATGTGCCTCAAAATTCTCCCAGGTTCTGCCTATTATGCAGTTCCAAAGTCACTGCTGCATTTTTAGGTATTTGTTACAGCACCACCCTATTTCCTGCTATAAAAATCTGTATTTGTTTCCTAAGGCCTGTTGTAACAAAGTATCACAAACTGGATGATTTAAAACAACAGAAATTTATTCTCTCACAGTTTAGGAGGCCAGAAGTCTGAAATCAAGGTATTGGCAGAGTTGGTGTTTACCAGAGGCTCTGAGGGACATTCTTGTTCTGTGCTCTCTCCTGGCTTCTGATGGTTGCTGGCAATCCTTGGCATTCCTTGGCTTGTAGAAGCATCATTCCAATCTGCCTCCATTGTCACAAGGCCCTCTTCCCTTTGTGTATCTCTCCTCTTCTAGAGATGCCAGTCATGTTTGATTTAGGGCCTGTCCTAATCCAGTATGTCCTTATCTAAACAAATTACATCTGCAAAGTCCCTACAGATTTTTAAATCTGTAGTCACATTCTGAGGTTCTGGGTGGACGTGAATTTTTGAGTGACACTATCCTATCTACCATGCCTTCTAACTATGGTTTTTTAAAGTTCTTATACTGAAAGGATGCTAGAGAGGGCTACAATTTATTGTAGGATGATTCCTAAGTGGTCCCATTGTTCCTGTAGTTGTCACCCACTGAATTAATGATAGTGACCATATGTCCTGATTTTCTGGGACTGCACATGGTTTTACTGTCAAACCATGTGCCTCGGTTTTTGGTTCCAAAAAATATGGTCCTCTTACTGTTAGCCCACACAAGGGGATTCCAGAAAACACTTTGCAGCTAATCTCACTGTCTTTTATTATAATCTGCATTTACTTCCCTCACTGGAAATGGAAAAATGGTCACCATTTTCTACGTAGATATATTTTACGAGCTTTGCCTGGTTATCGGAGCCTCCCCTGTGACTCCCCTTCAGCCTTTCTTTTTTTAGTGAAGACATGATCTGTGACTCCCCACTGCCTATGAGATAAAGTCCAGACTCTTCAGCTTGGCATCTAGACCCTCCCACAGTCAAGCTCTGACTCATTTTGTAACCATTGAACCTTCTGCTAAGTAAAATGCTTGAGCTTTTCCACCTAGCCTGCCTTTCTTTGCAGCATTGCTCCTGCCTGGGAGGCCTGCGCTCTCTCCACTGTATTTCTAAACACGGCCCAACCCACAAGGCCCACTTCAGGGCCATCTCCTCCACTAGAGAGGAGCATTTCAGTCTCAGTGACCCTTCACCTCAGCAGTCGCAGTTCTTACCCTCAGCACTGTTCATCAGACAGTCCCTGTAACCAGCGTGTGCAGCTGTTCAATTCACGTCGTTTAAACATTTTTCTGTATGTGTCTGTCTTGTCTCCCTGATTTGATGGTGAGGACCTCGAGGGCAGGTCCTGTTGTATGAGAGAGACACTGGTGAGGACATCACACCCTCCGATAGCTCTCCCAGTCCTGGCCCCTTCACGCCCCCTCTTGCTCTACCACATCCGGCCTCTGGGGGCACTGTGACTCTGTTCTGGCTGCTGCAAATCTCAATTCATTCTCTGAGGGAGATGAAGTTGAGCCACAGGTTAGCTTGGCAGGGCAGGCTGAGATCCCATGGGACACCAGCTCCAAATCCTGTTCNTAAAAAAAAAAAAAAAAAAAGGTTTTCCACACATCTCCAGCTACTGCTGTAGGCTACTCACAGAATTGACTATAGGCAGCAGAGTAGCGCTGAGGGCAGTAGTGACTCACTGCACTAGCATGCTGGAGTCCTAGGGCCAATTCTAGCAGTGTTCCCTGCTAGCTTTGGGACCCTTGGAGGAACGACGCCAGGTGGGGGAAAGAGCAGGGACACCAAATAAGCAGATGCCGTCTCAAAGCCACTAGTAGGACAGTGATCTACTCAATGAACTTGGGCAAGTTCTTTAACTTTTTTGAGGCTCAACTTCATCAGTAAATGAGCATGATAATTCAACTTCATGAAAGGTAGTTGTGAGTATTTAAATGGAATCATTTAGGCTTGGTGATGGATCCCACACACACATTCAATAAATCTTAGTCCCCTTTTCCCTTTCTCTGATTTTCATCCTCTTGTTTGTCAAATAAGGGGACCAAATCAGATGATTTCTGAATTCTGGCCAGGTTTTCTTCCACTTCATAACAAAGATTGTCTTTCTTCTAGTTTCCAATAACCTGTTCCTCATTTCTGCCCAAGACCTCACTAGAAGTGCCTTTAAACTTCATATTTCCAGCAACAATCCCTTCAAGGAAATTTAGGCTTTCTCTATCATGTGCCTCAAAATTCTCCCAGGTTCTGCCTATTATGCAGTTCCAAAGTCACTGCTGCATTTTTAGGTATTTGTTACAGCACCACCCTATTTCCTGCTATAAAAATCTGTATTTGTTTCCTAAGGCCTGTTGTAACAAAGTATCACAAACTGGATGATTTAAAACAACAGAAATTTATTCTCTCACAGTTTAGGAGGCCAGAAGTCTGAAATCAAGGTATTGGCAGAGTTGGTGTTTACCAGAGGCTCTGAGGGACATTCTTGTTCTGTGCTCTCTCCTGGCTTCTGATGGTTGCTGGCAATCCTTGGCATTCCTTGGCTTGTAGAAGCATCATTCCAATCTGCCTCCATTGTCACAAGGCCCTCTTCCCTTTGTGTATCTCTCCTCTTCTAGAGATGCCAGTCATGTTTGATTTAGGGCCTGTCCTAATCCAGTATGTCCTTATCTAAACAAATTACATCTGCAAAGTCCCTACAGATTTTTAAATCTGTAGTCACATTCTGAGGTTCTGGGTGGACGTGAATTTTTGAGTGACACTATCCTATCTACCATGCCTTCTAACTATGGTTTTTTAAAGTTCTTATACTGAAAGGATGCTAGAGAGGGCTACAATTTATTGTAGGATGATTCCTAAGTGGTCCCATTGTTCCTGTAGTTGTCACCCACTGAATTAATGATAGTGACCATATGTCCTGATTTTCTGGGACTGCACATGGTTTTACTGTCAAACCATGTGCCTCGGTTTTTGGTTCCAAAAAATATGGTCCTCTTACTGTTAGCCCACACAAGGGGATTCCAGAAAACACTTTGCAGCTAATCTCACTGTCTTTTATTATAATCTGCATTTACTTCCCTCACTGGAAATGGAAAAATGGTCACCATTTTCTACGTAGATATATTTTACGAGCTTTGCCTGGTTATCGGAGCCTCCCCTGTGACTCCCCTTCAGCCTTTCTTTTTTTAGTGAAGACATGATCTGTGACTCCCCACTGCCTATGAGATAAAGTCCAGACTCTTCAGCTTGGCATCTAGACCCTCCCACAGTCAAGCTCTGACTCATTTTGTAACCATTGAACCTTCTGCTAAGTAAAATGCTTGAGCTTTTCCACCTAGCCTGCCTTTCTTTGCAGCATTGCTCCTGCCTGGGAGGCCTGCGCTCTCTCCACTGTATTTCTAAACACGGCCCAACCCACAAGGCCCACTTCAGGGCCATCTCCTCCACTAGAGAGGAGCATTTCAGTCTCAGTGACCCTTCACCTCAGCAGTCGCAGTTCTTACCCTCAGCACTGTTCATCAGACAGTCCCTGTAACCAGCGTGTGCAGCTGTTCAATTCACGTCGTTTAAACATTTTTCTGTATGTGTCTGTCTTGTCTCCCTGATTTGATGGTGAGGACCTCGAGGGCAGGTCCTGTTGTATGAGAGAGACACTGGTGAGGACATCACACCCTCCGATAGCTCTCCCAGTCCTGGCCCCTTCACGCCCCCTCTTGCTCTACCACATCCGGCCTCTGGGGCACTGTGACTCTGTTCTGGCTGCTGCAAATCTCAATTCATTCTCTGAGGGAGATGAAGTTGAATAGCTCTCCCAGTCCTGGCCCCTTCACGCCCCCTCTTGCTCTACCACATCCGGCCTCTGGGGGCACTGTGACTCTGTTCTGGCTGCTGCAAATCTCAATTCATTCTCTGAGGGAGATGAAGTTGAACCACAGGTTAGCTTGGCAGGGCAGGCTGAGATCCCATGGGACACCAGCTCCAAATCCTGTTCCACACTCCCACCTGGGAGCTCAGTATTTCACTAATGCAATTTACCCAATGGTGTTTTCTTCATCTGGTAGTGTTTTAAGACTGGCATATGTTTTCTTTCCAAACTAACAACCTTTATCACACTAATGGATGCCTGTCTTGCAGCTTCTAATTTTTTAAAAATCCTATGACCTTACACTTGTCTCTTCCAGGAAGGTGTGTATATTTATGGGCTGTACATGGATGGAGCAGCCTGGGATAGACGGAATGGGAAGCTCACAGAATCCACCCCCAAGGTGCTCTTCACACAGCTACCAGTGCTGCATATTTTTGCCATTAACTCCACAGCACCCAAGGACCCCAAACTGTATGTGTGTCCTATTTACAAGAAACCGAGGCGGACTGATTTGACTTTCATTACTGTGGTATATTTGCGAACAGTGTTGTCCCCAGATCACTGGATCCTGAGAGGAGTGGCTCTTTTGTGTGACATCAAGTAAGTTCATTTCCACCTGCTGAGGGCCATGTAGACAGCCTGTACTATTGAGAGACGCAGTGATGTGTGTCTTTTCTCCCTGACAATTGCTTGATTACTCTTCCTAAATTAAAAAGTTGATGTTCTAAAATTGTTCGTGTGTTTTTTCCCATCATATCAGTATTCAAAAAAACAATTCTAAGTTAATGCTTTTTATTCCAGGAAATCATATTCCATTATAATTACTTTTTAAGGATAAAGTCTTATTTTTATGTTAGAACACTTTGGAATGTTTGAATTTTAAAAATCTAAGACAAAGTATTAATATATTACATACTAAAAGAAGCCTTATAGATGAAAACTTTTCTCTCAAATAAAAACCACTTTCCCTTGAATAAAATCTACCCATGTTTGTTTTGTGCTCATGTGTTATCTATTGCTCTTTTGAGCCTGGTTTTCTCTCCGTGCTCATGAAATGGAAACTGGAGTGGTCCAGTGAGTTCCTCATGAAATGGAAAATGGAGTGGTCCAGTGAGTTCCCCGCAGTAGTACAGCTGTGTGGTGTGAAGACTTTGAGACAGAAAATCCACTGGAATGGCGCTGTTATAATTTATCTTAATTTTATTTAATTTTATTTTATTTAGTGCTTTTTGAGGCCCAGGGAACTTGGACTCTCCAGCTCTCCCTCCCAACCCCAATTCTGCGGGAGATAATGAAACACATTTCTAGGTAGCAAATGGAGAAGGAAAAACAAACTCCATCAAATGAAATTAGGTTACATGCTGAATGTCTTAAAAAGCAAAGTCTTTAAAAAGTGAAGCTATTTCTTACTCTGTAGCTAGTCTAAATCTCAGTATGAACCTTTATTTCCTGCTAAAGGAAATTGTCAATTTAACAAAACAGATGGGGTCCTGTATTGAATGCTCATGCAGCTTCAGGATAGTGGAGAAGTGTCTCTACCGGTCTTCTCATCTAGAATCCTTTTGCCTGCCCCCAGCTAAATGCACAAGCTTCATTCCCTCTGTCTGTTCTGTGGGAGGAAACGTTTCAAGTTGACCTGCTCCCCCTCATCCTTCTATTGCCCTGATCAGGATGCTGATGATAAATAAAATGAGGTGGCTAAACAACATCCCGTGTAAAGTGTCCAGGGAAGACCGCAGAAGAAATTCCACCATAGTCTGGTGCACTTTCAAACAGTAGAAAACATATTATGAAATGCAAACTGTGGCAGTGGCCTCTGGTACGCTCCTGATATTGATTCAATGTCAAAGCCATAGAACTTTTAAAAAATAAAGGCAGTTTTAAAAAATTAATTAGCCAAGCCCCTGGCCCAAGTGTTTGGGTTTGGGCACTTCCTTTGGTCAATACGCACGCCGAAGTAGAGGTGGCATTCTCTGGAAAGCATGTCCTCCTGAACTGAGGCTAGCATTTGGAAGCACCTGCCAGTCTGAGTGGTCACAGAAAAAGCAAAGCATGCTGATATTACAGCAAACCAAGCTGCAGGTTCTAAAACAAAACACACATGTTTTATTGATATTCCTGTCAAGTTGCTAAAACAATTGAAGGCAAATGCACAGTCCAAGCCCCTGGATATCATGGTAGATTTTCAGAGAATAACAATTAGGTTTAATGTTCTCTGATGACTTGAATGTTGATTGGGGAAAGAGATGGAAAAGATGTGAATCTAGTGAAGGTCATTGATCAGACTGTTTAAAGCCACACATACTATTTCTTGGGGACTCTCCACTGTTGCTGATTATTTTGCTCTGTGTGGCACAGAGGAGAGAGTGATGGGCTTGGGCACCTGGGCAGTGCCTCAAAATGGTCTTCTTTAAGGTAGGTACTTTTCAGCTACCCTAGTTCTGCTGAGAATTGGCTGGGACCCTGTTCTGCTTTCTTTCTTTTGGCCCAGTAAATGGTTTCCTTAGACATTTGGAGCCATTGAACTTCCATAAACACATAATCATTTTCTCTGCAAAACTGTTGCTCTTTTGCTAATTATATAATTTGCCACACTTGAGTGAGGGAGACCTGGTGAGTATAAAAGAGCAAAGGATAGAGGACAAGATGGTTCAGCCAACGAAGGAGGGAGAGAGGCAAAGTCATTTTTTTCCTTCTTGGAATCAGTCCACATCTTGTCATTTTGGTCTCAGCAGAATAAGCAATGAGATTTATATATTCATTGGTTTAAAATGTTATTTTAGTTCAGACTTTACGTAAAAATAAGA